CCCCCCCCCCACACACACACACAGATCTCTGAGATGGATGTTGACGTACGCACATCCGTCCATACGAGCTGCATACATACATGGTACCTACCTGCCTAGATGCATCAAGCCGCTGGGCAGTCCATATATTTCAGCAAGCTACCTGCGGCCAGCCAGCCAGCCAGCCAAGAGAGGAGAGGAGAGGAGAGGAGGGGCGTGGAGGGGAAAAAGGAGAGGGGCGTGTTGGTTGGTTGGGCCAGTAGATAGTATCGCCAGCCAACTCGCCCGGCCTTGTCTGTTTGGGAGCCTCGTTGAGTGCTCTATCTACTGGGGAAAGTGCTCTATCTACTGGGGAATCTGCTGGGGAATGAAGGATGCATGACTGACTGGCGAGGCGCGGGCCCCCATTTTTGTGAGAGGCAGGCCGTGTGAGGGCGGCGGCACACACGAGAGGGAGCGCGGGAGGGAGGGAGGTGCTGGGGCCTGGGCAGTGCTCGGGTGGGACATAAGTAGATAGCTAGCTACATTCACGACAGATTCATCTCGGTATTCACGCAGGCACGAATGTGCGTGTCTCCGTGTTGGTGTGGGTGTTTGCCTGAAGCGGTTGGTTGTTTGCCGCCGTGAAGCGGTTGGTTGTTTGCCGCCGTGATTGAGATTGACCGACCGACCGGCCGACCGATTTATTTAGTCGCTGGCGGGGCTGGCCGGCTGGTCGGGCGGTCGGTCTCACATACATACATACATGTTTCCATCTCGGTGGCCGCCGCTTCTCTGGGCTAAGTGGGGCCACGAAGACATACAGTGCAGTGCGGCTAATTTTCTACATCCGTACGCGGATGTACTGCTTGCTAGATAGCCATTAACCACAGAGAGAGAGACAGAGAGAGAGAGAGAGAGGGTGCGAGCAGTGTTGATTGATGCAGTGGGGTGTTGGGCTGTTAGTGCCTTGTGTATGTGCCTCACTGATCAACTACATGGGTCCAGCGGTGCCTTCCTGCCTGCCTGCCTGCCTGCGTGTGTCCTCGTGTGGGTCTCCCTTCCTTGGTCTCGTGTGTGTGCTGTCTTCCCTCCCTCCCTCCTCCCTCCCTCCCTGCCCCATCCGCAGTTACTGTAGTGGCTCGGGTGGATCGACGTGGACTTTTTGCCGCATACATACATGGTAGGTACAAAGTACCGCACATCGTTCCATCCTTACTCTCCTTGCCGGCCCACCTCAGTTTGCCTCTGCGTGTCGTGTTGAATGCGTCCGTGTGTGCGTGCTGGGGCCGCCTGTGTGCTAGTGTGCCTTCCTGCTGAGATGGATGGATGGCTGGCTGGGAGTTATTTATCCGTGTGTGTGTCCTTGCTGTTTGCTCCGTGTGTGTCTGTCTGCGTGTGAGTATGAGTGTGAGTGTGAGACGACTGCAGGAGTTGGTTGGGCGTGAGGAAGGCAGATACGCGCTGAGAGAGTGTCGCGGGCCAACATTCATACTGCTGCAGTACGAATGTTGTGGGATCACCTGCATGGCCATGCGTCAGTCGCTCGCGGATAGGTGGGGGCTGGGGGACAGTTTTGTGTGGGTCTCTCTCTCTCTGTGTGTGTGTGTGTGTCCGTGTGTGCGTGTGCTTGCTGCATGTGTGTGTGTTTCCGGCCGTTCATCTGTGCATCTGTGCGTCGGTAGATGTGTTCATGTGATGCGCAAGCAAGCCAAGCTCCTCGCAGTCAGTCAGTCAGTGATCTTTGCAAGACACCCACTCGCACATACAGCTCTGCCCATGCACGCCCCGACAGCCGGAAGGGTGGGGTGGACGGATGGAAGGAAAATGCACATGTATGTATGTAGGTATACCTACTGACTGACTGCCGTGTCTGTGTCTGTGGGCGTTGGATTGACCAGACAGACAGACAGACAGACATGACCCCTACATCCATCAGACATAGGGAGACGAAATGCAGTGGGATGCGTCGACCAGAGGAGCACCACCCATCCCACCCACCCACCCACCCACCCATCCACTAAGACCAACACGGATAAATTCCGGCGATAATATATCGAGGCCTCAACGTAATCGCTCGCTGCCACCTTCCGTCTTGAAATCCGCACACATGGATGGATGGATGGATTAACGGCCGGATGAGTCGACCCGACGGGCAAAAAAGACAGACCACAGTGCCCAACACCACAAATCACAGAGAGAGACACCCATGCATACACACAGGCGAGAGTAGTCGTTCCCCTTGCCCATTCAGCCACCCAGCCACACCGTTTGTCGGTTGCTCACACGCGGTTGTCAGTGTCATTATTGGCGGCCACCTGCATGCACGAACGGGCATAGATGGATAGATAGCACCCATGTCTCCGATTGTTCTGTCTGCGTCGTTCCTTTGCTGACGTACGTCTTGTAAGTCTCCGGAGGGCTCCGACCCTTCATCGCCTTCGGACTCCTCCTCGATGTTGAGGCCGAAGAAGCGCTGCATGAGCTGCTGCTCCTCGACCATCTTCCACGGCAAAATACGCAGCACCTCCATCGCACGCCACAACTCATCCCTGTCGCACATGGTGCGCGCAATATATGCATACACACAATCACACACAATAAATACCCACACACACACACAAAGGAAGACAAGGGCACGTGAGACACATGGGTGGCTGGCTGGATGGATGGAGTTTCATTAGTGCAAACATACCTGAGGCGGTTGGCGGTGATATATGTGTTACAGGAAGCGATAAAGACCACCACAAAGGCGAAGATACAGAGCGTCAGGGACGTGTTTGAATGCCCCGCCATCTCCTCACGCGCCTCCTGCACACACAAACGTCCCCAACATATGTATGTATGTATCTATGTGTGCTGTGCATGTCTGTCTTTGTGCGGTCGGTCGCTTGTGGGAGATACATGCCTTGTAGATGGTGTCTTCCAATCTGATCATGCCGTCCTCAATGTCCTTGCGGTACATCTGATATAGAGTATTAGACATTGTCAGTCAGTCAGACAGACAGCCGTGTCAACGCGTCCATTTGATGTGTGTGAGCCACAGACAGTGCACGCGTGATAAAGGCTTGCTTACATTGTAGATGAACCAGAACCTTTCTGGTGTGGACATGGTGATGTTCTCGTCGCTCGCGTGAAAGGACAAATACGCGCACTCCAAATGCCTATTGCACGTTCACATACAGGTCCTCGATGGATGGATGGATGGATGGATGGATGACCTGCCGGCCGATGTCCCGATCTTCATACATACCAGATGGACATAGCTTCGTACAAACCCTGCCACGCCATCGAGTATGGCACACATGTTGCAAACAGATGGCCGTGGCGCACTTTCAACACGACGTACCTCTTCCATTCTCTTTTGGCCAGGGTAGTCCTCCCCCTCACACGTAGCCGGGGCGCGGCGCAGACAATTCGGCTCGTACAGCAGTTTCTTGCCTGTTTGCTTGCAGTCATTTTGTTGACACCCAATGAGTGCAGTGGACAGACAGGCGTCAGCTTACGTTTGGGGAAGCGTCGATCTAGAGTGTCGCTGGTGCCAAACCAGGTACCCGACGTCTTGACTTTCAGCATATCCTGGGGGCACGGACGCCAGACAGACGCCACAAAAGCAGAGGGCGGGAAGGGGAGGAGAGACATGCACGTACATTTGGAAGTCGACCTCTTCTGTCTGTCTGGCTGTCTGTCTGTCTGTCTGTTGCTCACTCACGTTAAAACGTTCCGCCGCAGTTGTGGATTCTTTCGCAAAATCCGCCCGGAGGGACGTCGTGTTGAAAGTGCGCCACGGCCATCTGTTTGCAACATGTGAGCATACGTACATCCAGAGATGGAGAGACAGATAGATTCGGACCGGCATCCATCCGAATCTATCTGCACAATGGTCCCTCTCTCACATGTTCACTCACTGTGGCCATGTGTGTCAATCGTACCTACCTTCCGACTTTGACGACGTCAGGCGAGATGGCGACTGCTTCGCGAATTTCGAATACCACCTCTTTGATGACAGACAGCTCGTCGGCCTTGGTCTCTGCATCCGCACGGATTCATACATATACCATGTGTGTGTGTGTGTGTGTGTGTGTTGACTCACTCATTTCCTACTTACGGAAAGAGAGTATCATCATGCTAATAAGGACCGCCACGAGGGTGAAATAGCAGATCAGGAACGCCCAAAACCCCTGATGGACGGAATGGATTAATGGGCAAATACATACATGTGTGCTGTACAGACCTGCCTTCCTCACTCACCAGCACGAGTGTGACGACTTGCCAGAGAGGAGCCGCCCGATCGTCGAGTTCCACGCTTTCTCAATGCAGCGTGAACACCGGTTTCCTCTGGCCTTGGCGGTGCGCTGTACACACACACATACACATGTATGTATATCACACGTGCATGTGTATGGAGACGCCCATGTATGTTATGCACCTCAGTGCGCGCGGTCTCAGCGGAATCAGTTCTCCTCATGATGGACCGCCCCTGTGTCGCTGCCCCCTCGGACTGCTTCCTCGCCGCAGCTGTTACGGGGATGGCGACCACTTCTGCAGGCTGGTACGGCCGGACCTCCTGAGCGGCCGACATTGGCGAGGCGTCGATTGTCACTGAGGATCCCCTGCGGCCGTCTGAGTCGCTGATGAAGCTGGACATGGGGTTGGCAGACTCGGTTATGGCTGTGGTTGCATTGGTGTTCTTGTCTTGGCGGGCGGGACGCTTCTTACTGCTGGGGCCGGAGGCTGGCGCGGCGGTACCTTCCAGCTGCGCGTGGAACTTTTTGAGCTTCTCGGCCATCTGCAGCCAGAACGGGGACAGGCACACGCAGTCAGATGAGATGAATGACGTGAATCCCTGGATGCCCAGCCAGCCGAAGCACCCACCATTTCTTTCTTGAACTCAATCGAGTCCTGTCTGGCCGGATACTTGTGGACAGCCTTTCGATCCGAAAAGCGGAGGGGAGACCGCGGAGAGGCGGTGCCGGAACGCGGAGAGAGAGTGCCCGAACCAGGCTCCTCGCCCAGCGCCTCACCCCCTTCACCACCCGATGAGTCTCTATTAACAACGACGAAGGGCATCTGATCCTATGCGTGTCCATCCGTGCAAACAGCAGCGAGTGTATCCATTCATGCCAGCCACGTGAGCGCTCACTTGGTCAACCTCTGCATCTTGGTTATCATCGGGTGCTTCGTCCGTGTCTCCCACGACGCCAGGCGGACTATCGCGACGCTGGTATTGCGGTGACGTGGCGCTCATCACGTTGGCGCTGTCTGCTTAGCGAGCAAAGATAGAACAGAGCGAAAGATCGGTTTATTGGTCGCCACTTACCACCGTAGAGCTCTGGCAGCTCGCCTTGATCCTCGTCTGATATCTGCCCGTTGCTGGCCATGCTGTCGTCGCGCTCAACGGCGACTGAGCACTGGTCCAGTGTCTTGCCCTTGCTGAGAGGTGAAGCCCTAAGAGGGCTCATGTCCGTGTCGGTTGGCGGCACAAACTGCTGAACCACCTCATTCGTCAGGCGATGGCGAGCCGACACGTGCTGAACGTCCTCGATGGCGTGGCGGGGCGACGCGGAGAGCCTCTTGGTCGCTATCGTGCTCACTGACGACCGATGCCTTCCTTGGCCAATTGTCTCCTGGGAGACACGACACAATAGAGATAGACACATCATCGATGAATTGTGATCATCGATGCATTGTGATGATCATTGATGGATGCTCACGCTGTCGGGCTCCTCCTCCCACGAGCATCGGTGGCTTCCTTTTCTGTGGACGAACAAACACGAGGAGACATGACACGCCGCTAAGGGCGAGGCATGCGCATGTCGCCCACCTGGGTGAGTCACCAAAGTCGCTGGCGTGCTTAGAGGAGACATCATCCGCTAGACCGAGGTCACTCAATCCCATCTTGTGCGCCTTTCTCCCTTTCCGAAAGCGTTTCTGCACACACCCACACATGTGACTGTTCGCATACGTGCACTTGCTACTCCGCTTTAGCTGGCTGGCTGCCTGGCATGCCTGCAGGGAGCGCTTCTGCTTGGCAGTGAGCTCGAGGGTGAGATGAAGGGCGAGGGGTGGCGTGGCTCTCTCGTCGAATTGCCGCAGTTTCCTCCTCACCGCCCAGACGGAGTAGATGCAGGAGAAGAGCGGCACAATAAGTGTCAGGGACGCCACGCCGAAAATCAGAATGATGGCGCCGTCCACCTCCTGTTGCTGCACGAGATCGCGAGACACAAACGGACGGACTGACGCGCATGCGTGTGTATCCACGTACCACATGCTCCAGCTGGGCTTTCATAATCGCCAGTAATTCCGATGCGGCAGTGCCCATGGAATTTTGTGTCAGAAAACGAAAGTGACGGTCTGCGTAGACTTTTTCCTGGCCTGGCGGGGGTATCTGAGGCACTGCTGGTCCAGACAGACAGACAGACAGACAGACAAGCAGACGGAGGGAGGACAGACAGACAGACAGACGGACGGACGAAGAGGCGGAGGTGATGTCTCTGTCTCTGACTGGACTACTGAAACACATGGAAGTCACCGTCGAGGTAGAATTTCTTCATGGCATCGATGTAGAAGGTCACTGCACGCAGTACGCAGCGGCGCACCAAACGTGCCGCCATTATGAATGCGTGTGCATGTATAGGTCATACCCAAATCCTGGAAGGGGCCCATCCTCTCCACGGCCATCCCATTGTCTGTAAAGTAGACGATCCTGACACGCTCATCCTTGTTGAAGAGGTCCTCCACTTTCTGCATTTTCTCCTTGATTGCCAGGTCCATGACTTTGTTGGCAGCGTCCATAAGTCCTCGTGCCAGGCCCCACACCTCATCAAGCTCATCCCCCAGGCACTGCAGGGCCTGCAGAAGACACCAGACCGAGGGATGGATGAGTGCGTGTGTAGGCGGCAACGACTTTTGACCTCCATGTGCAAAGCCGGATCAGACCCCGGGTATGTCGGGGTGAATTGGGAGCACACATCCATTCTGTTTAGCGCGATAGCCACCTCCAGCCAATTCTGACGAGACACACGGTGTATCGGCGTGTGGAGGTACAGGCAAAAAGAGACTGGACGCGCTCAGTCGAGAGAGGGAGAGAGAAAACCTACCTCTGCCATTTGGCTGGTCCACTTGACCTCCTCCATTTGGTCGTTGATGTAGTCCATCTGCTGAACTCCGAGGAAGTTGTCGCCGTCGTGACGGCCAAGATGCACGTCAGGCCAATGACGTTGGCCACCGTGATCCATAACAGCCCCCGGCGCTTCTCGCGGTCCACCGAGGTAATGACGTGTGCCTTGATGGACGCCTGCATGCCCAACGGCCCGCCTGCGCCGGCCTTGCCAATCGCGCTGCCCACCCCACTGACGGACGAGCCTTCACTGTGTGTGTCGGCCCCGCCGCCAGCAGCACTGCGGCCAGAGTCGCCCACATCCAGCATATCGGTGTACCTAATGCAGTGCGCAGATATCGAACGATCAATAGAGGCTGCCATGGCCAGCCAGCCAGCCGGCCAGTGTGTTCCTGTCTGTGAGGGCTTGTGCCTGCCTTGTCTCGCCGTAGACTTGGTACAGGAAGGCCGAACACGACTCGAGAGCCTCGGGCGACCGAGGGAAACGATTCATCTGCGACAGGGCATTGGTGTATGTATGTATCTCTGTGCGCATTTTCGAACACAGAGCAATACCAGGGTCGTGTACGCGTTTTGAGCGTTTCGGACGGCGACAAGAGCAGATGAGAGCTTCGTGAGCTCCTGATGAAGCAAACCCCAGCGAATGAGTGAGGCAGGGAACAAGCGCCATATTGACCGTCCTCGGGCGCCTACCCTTTTGCAGTTTTGGGCGGTGATGGCCGTGCCCGACTTGTCGGATTGATGAAGCGCTTTGAAGAACGACATGAGCTCGTGCAACTGCACACACGACACGGGGACGGATTGTTGGAAGGATATGACAAGCATGAATGTGACGTGATGTGACAGCAACCGACAGCTTTCTCGTGGTTTTGTTTGGCAGTGTTGGCCCATTTCTTGTAGGTGACCAAGTCTATCAGGTTCCCCGCCTTGCGCTTCGTCCCCAGGTAGCTCAGCTGCCGTGTGTTCTCGACTAGAGACGCACAGTCACAGATACGGACAGAAATGTGTGCCCGCAGGTCCTCCGGTGTGATGTCTAGTCACGTACTATCCTTTTGCAGGCAGTAGCACAGGTACTGGACGTCCAGGGTGAAGGGTGAGGCCGTCTCGTGCGCCAGCCTCACGTACTTGAAGGACGAGTAAGCATTCTGCCGATCGAGACACACACACACACACTCCCTTCCGTCCTTCTTTCCTTCTTTCCTTCCTTCCTTGCCGTTGCTCCGTGGGTGACGGTCTGTCTGCATACCTTTAACAACATGTTGAGGGATGAGGCGTACCACACGTAGAGGAGTGCCTTTCGGGAGCTCTCGGCGTTTAGCGACAAGTAATAGAACACGGTCTCGAGCACAAAACCGGCCACTGTTTTCTCGCTGTCGCTCATTTCATGCCACTCGTCGCCGACCCCGCGGAAGAGCAGCTCGATGTCGCAGTCGAAAACCAGAAGCTTGGCCAAGCCTTTGGCAGAGGAGAAGTAGGAACTGTGGGCAGTCAGTCAAAGCAGACACATAGACGCCGATTCACTCATTGCAGTCACAGATAGATGGCGGTGCGGGTGTCCCTGCACTGCAATTGATGCGTGCCTGCTTTTGAACTCCCTTTTCGACTTCGCCACCTCCATTTGCATGTTGACATCGACGTCGGACAGGATGGAGTCGCGTTTACCAGGGGAAACCTTGGGGGTGACCGCTGCACCCATTCAGCCATACATGCAGGAATGGACGTGCAATCCCATCCAATCTGTTGTGTGGGCACCATCCCAGCTCACCTCCAGTGGCGTGTGGGGTGTGCGGCGACATGGGCGACTCCTCCTCGTCTTCTTCCTCAATCATTTGGTGGACTGTCATGCTGTAGGCACACACGCACACAAACACAAGCAAACAGGTGCCCCCACACACAGGCAGACAGACGAGTGAAGGCTGACCGCATCTCTGTCGTGAGGCTGTCGGTCATTTGGCGGCACGTTTGTCTCACTGCCGCATTGAGTGCGTGTTTGCGCATCAGCGACACATACGTGCCGAACCCAAACGCAGCCAGCGATATCTGCACACATGTCACAGGGTCGAGCACTGTCTGTATCTGTTGATTTGGTCTTCCATCATCAGTCACTCACCGCCCACATGGATGGCACGTCCAGGTCGCCCTCGCCGAAGGAGTAGGCCGAGAGCGTCAGAGCCTGGGATCAATCAATCACGAGACACACACGGAATCAAAGGACAGAAGTGTGTCTGCTCTGCGCGTGTGTGAGCTGTGTGTCAGCGCTGGTCGCACCCACCAGGAGGATGGCCAGGAATCCGCCCCGAAGGCGATTGCCGAGATTGCTGAAAAACGGCGCCTGTCGGTCAGGCCAGACAGCACACAGACAATGGACAGTATAAGTCTTCATGTATACTTCTTATCCGTCCATCTGCTACACACCTGCAGCACTGAGTAAGCGAAGACAGCTGAGAGGCTGACAGCGTTGAGGGCAATGACGAACCGCAGTGTCTCAGGTGCCGGCGAACAGCCGACGGCCACACGACAAGCCACCACTTGCGTCTTGACGATCAGAAACAGCGCCTCCACGCGACCTGCATGACCCCACATCCCACAAGGACACCCAGTAAGCAATGCAGACGATTCTTGCATTTCCTTTGGTGACCGTGGGCTGCGCACGAAGGGTCCAGGGAAAACTGGTCAAACTTGTTGTACAGGAGTGCCGTGAAGAAGGCGAAAGGGACGAGCCACATGAGGGAAATGCCGCTCAAGGCCATAATGGCGATGTGCTTCATCCAGCACACAACACAGGGGATGTATGGAAGGAGGAAAAGAAGCCCGGGCGTTTCCTCAGTGAGTGTGTCCGACCTACTTACCATGTACCCATAGCACTGCTTCAGGTCAGTGGTCTCGAGATTGAGGATGCGGTAGTTGAGGAGCGGGCAGCTGAAGGTTGTCATCATCAAATATATCGTCGACACGTAAAACGTTGTCACGAATACTGCACGCCACGCCACGCCACACCACAAGAGGCAAATGGGATTCAGTCTCGGAGACACGGGGAGACATGGGCAGAAAGGATGATGACGCTCACGTTTGCTCGCACTTACTTCTGACGAATCCTCTGAGAAGCACGAGGGGCCATATCAGATGCACCTCTCTCTGTCTGAACGTCTGTGCCACCAGTAGCACACACCCCAGGGCCATCAGCATTAACAGAGCCAGCCCACCGACCACCGAAAAATAGCGAAACGTCTCGTCACCAGCCGCGAATCGGAAGGGCGATGACACCAGCACCACGATGCACTCGGCCGATGACATGAGCGTGTAGTCGCGGCAGTTGAGGACGCGACCACAGTTCAGCAGCACCATTGGAACGATTTGCAGGAACTCTACTATTGCCTTGAAGGTGTTGAGGATCCTTGCGGTCATCTTGATGGCGTCCCCCGTCGCCTCCTTGCGAGAACTGTCCATCACGTAGAACACACCTGTGAAAGAAAGAAAGACCATCAACCTCCCCAATGGATGCGGTATATGTTGTTTGTGGGTGTTGTTTCCGCAGTCGGTCCTCACCGAAAAGGGCCTCCTGCCATGGCTTGAAGTGCAGGTACGTCCCTTGGTCGTCGAGCGCTGACATCCTCCGCTCACTCACACAAAACGACACAGCACCAGGGCGCACTCAGGACTCTGCAGCTGCGTCGCAGGGGTGGACTGGTGCGATGGGATCAATTGGATGGGATGAGAGGATCTGTGCACGGCGCACTGTGTGGGGGAAGGGACCAGCTGCACACGCCTACTCTAAAGTTGCATCAAAACGCACCGATGAGGGGAGGGAGGGGGAAAAGCTTTATGGGAAAAGCTTGCCGATCCCGTAAAACTGCTCTTCACGAAAATCGCGCACCGCCACCTTCTCTCTCCCTCTGCTGTCTTCCTGTCTTCCTTCCGTATGGGTCCCGTATGTATATGGTGGTGTATTCATGTGATTGGCTGATCGTTGCTTTGGTGGCTCAGAGAGCGCTCATTTTTTCACTTCCCCCTTCTGGCTTCTGTACACTTGCCATGGCTCTTGCTGGGCGACAGCGCCCGTTCTTGTGTATGTAGCCGGAATCGGTGTTTGTCAACGTTCTACAAGGCAGCCAGTGCTCTCTGCTGCCATCTGTTTGTCCGCCGGTGCCAGTGCAGGGAGGGGTAGACAGGCCGTGTGCATGCTTTGCATGTACATGCTGCTAGTTTAGTGCGTGAGACAACAGGATCCCTCCGGGGTTACAGACACGAGTCTCGTTAAACACACTAACCAACCAACCAACCATCATCAATCCGGCGGGATGAGGCTGCCAGCGGCATCACAGATCTTCGCATTCGTCCCATCCGTGGTCAACGCATTCCAGCTCTCAAGCATCGTCACCGCGCCTTCGGAGCAGAGATCTAGGCCTACTCTGAGTGGCCTGCCGCACAGAAGAGCCGCCACGTTGAGACTGAGTGCGGCGGTCAAAGAGCGGCCAGCCAGCACTGATGGCGCGGAAGACGAGAGGGCAGTGAGGGGCAGCGAATCGCTCGAGGGCTACCTTGACGGATCAGCACTGCGACGAAAAGTATGACACACGCAGAGCACGCAGATAACGTTCATGTCATTTGGATCTCCTTCACTTTTTCCATCAGACTGCTCGTGCTGTTTTCCCCAGCAGTCCCGACTCGACGCCCTACCGGTCGTCATCGACACGACCGTCGTCGTCAGGCGGTACCCCCTCTTCCACCCAGCGGACCACCCCCTCCGCCATTGCATTCCGCCGCGCTTCACGCAACCGCAACCAGCGGCCAACCTCGGCACGGCCGCCTGAGAACGATCCTGAAGACGATTCATATCTGGATGATGAGAGTGAGGGGCCGGCAGCAGATGAGGAGAGGGAACTCCTCACTACCGTGCAGAAACAGGTGGAACGAGAGTGCCGGGCGTCAGCCAGAATGAATGAACGCATGTGTTGTTGTGGTTCTGGCTGTGTGTGGGCTGGTGGTCAGTTGCTTGAGAGTGTGCCCTCTGGGGGCGAGGGGGATGAGGACCTGCAGCTGATCGCCAGGAATGCGACACCGGCCGACACCATGGTTGGTGGCGACAAGGGTCGCGAGGAGGACATTGGGCTGCCGCTCTTCTATGATCCTGAAGCAATCAATCAGTACTGGGACAGACGACCCAAACAAGTAGGTGCAGGATATGGATGGGTCGATGGACGGATCAGCACACAGCTCATGTGTGTGCATACGGGGTGTGTGCCAGGTTCGGCGGCGGCTCGTGCAAGTCTTGAACGAGGCCACGCCCTTCGCTCTCAGGGTGCTTGTCGATTGGCGGAGGGGGCGGCTCGACGACGAAAACATCAAAAAGAAGAGAGCGGTCCAGTTTCGGGAGTTGCTCACACGACTAGGGCCGACGTTCATCAAGCTGGGGCAAGCCCTGTCCATTCGGTGAGCGACAAGCACGGATCGAGCGTCCAGATCGCGTGCCATTCACGCCTGTTTGTGTGCAGGCCCGATCTGGTGAACCCCACGGCCATGTATGAGCTACAGCAACTCTGTGACGCGTACGGAAAGCGCAAAGAGGGCGGGATGGCCACTTGGATGGAAGCCGCTGTTGTGTGTGTGTGTGTGCAGAGTGCCCTCATTCCCAAATGCCATCGCCAGGAAGTAAGGGGACCCTGAGGCTTACACAGAGCACGATGCATGCACACAACGCTCCTTTTTGTGCTGACCGATCAGGACGATAGAGGAGGAGCTTGAGGCGCCCACCGACGAGATCTTTGAGGACTTCAACGATCCGATTGCCGCTGCCTCGCTGGGACAGGTGTACCGCTGTCGGCTCAAGGCAACGGGGCAGCTCGTGGCGGTCAAGGTGCAGCGGCCGGATATGCTCCGGGCAGTGAGCCTGGACCTGTATCTGCTGAGAAAGCTTTCCATGCTGCTGGGCAGCATCCAATCGCGCTTCACCAAGCAGAGGACTGATTTTCTGGGACTGTTGTCCGTGTGGGCCACTGGGACATACAACGGCAAGAAGACGATGCGCTTCAGATGCCCATGATCTCTTCCCTCTCTCTGTGTGCAGAGCTGGACTATGTGAACGAGGGTCAGAATGCCATCAAGTTCGAGCGTCAGATCACCCACCTGGACGGCATCTACATTCCGCGCGTGTACGAGCAGTACACGAGCAGGAAGGTGCTGACGACCGAGTGGATCGAGGGCAAGAAGCTGGCCGACGAGTCGCCGGAGGTCATCAACAAGCTCGTCAAGCTTGGGGTCGAGTGCTTTCTCACGCAGCTTCTTGACATGGGCTTCTTCCATTCGGTCAGGGCATCTGCACGTGCTACTGCAGTGACGGGGAGACATACAGTCATGGGTGTGTGGTGTCACGTGGTCTCATATGCGGATACAGGATCCCCATCCAGGCAACCTCCTCACAACGCCTGACGGAAAGCTGGTGCGTAAGACGGTGGATGGCATCCATCAACTGTGTTTTCTATCTGTTTCTCCATGTCTCTGTGTGTCTTGCTAGGTGTTGATTGACTTTGGACTGATGGCGGAGATCGCCAAGCCCGAGATGGACGCCATGATAGCGAGTATCATTCACCTGGCTAATCGTGACTACGACAAGGTGGTCGACGACTTTGTGAAGCTGGATTTCCTCCCCGCCGACATAGACAAGGACAAGGTGCGGCCAGCGCTCGCAGCAATCCTCGACCAGGCCCTGCAGGTACATACAAACACACGTGTGGCTGGCACACGCGTGTGGACATGCGTACAGCGTGAATGCTATGTGTGGCTCTTCTGTGTGATGCAGGGGGGAGGTGCCAAAAGCATCAATTTCCAGTCTCTGTCGGCCGAGCTGGCCGAGGTGACTTTTGATCACGATCAATTGAATGTATCCATCAGTCATGCATGGGTTCTGTCCCGAGCAGGTCACGTTCGACTTCCCCTTCTCGATTCCCCCGTATTTTGCACTCATCATCCGCGCGCTGGGCGTGGTACGCACACATTGCATGAGGGGTCATGGTGAATCATTCTCTTCTTCCTCTCTGTCTGTGGATCAGCTTGAGGGCATCGCACTCACAGGCAACCCCGAGTTCAAGCTCATCATGGCAAGACCCAGACAGATGCATGTGTGCATGTGTCTCATTCTATCTCTGTCCCTCTGTCTGTCTTGGGTGCAGGAGGCCTACCCCTATGTGTCGAGGCGCGTTATAACAGATGCATCTCCTGTAAGCGACCACTGCCGGCCGGTCGGCCTTGTTTGCCATCAGGATACTCACGTGTGCCCCATTGCTGGTTCGCAGGTGCTCCAAACCGCATTGACAGAGATCCTGTACAAAAATGGAGAGTTTAGCCCTACTCGGCTGAACGTCCTGCTCAACTCTGCCCAGGGCCTGATGGCCGAAGGAGACGCGTTCGTCGATTTCGACACACTCCCCGACAGCACAATGGCGTTGCCGGACGTCCTCGATTTCGTCTTCTCGTAAGCCAGCCACAAAGGCGGACGCATGTAGGTCCTCATATACGTGTGCGTGCTTCTGTCGATTCAGGCCCGAGGCTGGCTTTGTGCGTGACGCATTGGTAGAGGAGGTGTCAAAGGCCGTCGAGATGTCCGGAAGGAAGGTGACCAACCTCCTTGCAGACCGGCTGATCGACAGCCTGTCGCCTATCCCGCCCCTGCTGCGTCCCCCGTTGCTGGTGCCCTCCCTCTCAACCCTCCAGACACTCACAGAAGTGGATACCAAGGAGCAGCGATATCTCAGCGGCGTGGTGGAGCTGGCTCAGATGGCCATCGACCAGTCGGGGGTGCTTGTGGGTGGTGGCGGCGCATCGCGCCAGTCGATGAGTCGCGAGGACCTGGCAAGACTGAGGGACATACTCAGACGGCCACAAACACAGGTACGGCAGAAGAGGAAGGGAGTGAGGCTTGGATGGACGGCAGCATGGTTGGCATCGTGTTTTGGTGGTTGCACCGTCGATGCAGGAGTTTGCCATGCGGGTTGGCGAGCGTCTGCAGCAGCGGATCGTTCGTCGTCTGCAACAACGGCTGCTCAACGAGATCGCACCGCCCAGGGAAGAGGCAGACAAAGCGGCTGTGAGATAGATATGATGTCAGGGTCTGTTACTGCGGGCACCTTCTGTCGGGGTCCGCACGTCTGTCGGGGTTTTTCATGAGACATAGGATGAGATCAGATGTTGTGTGAGACCGTATGTATAGCTAAGGTGATGGAGACACATTGTGACGAGACGGGAGGGGTGGGTGGGGAGACACAGGGAGTAGAGGGCTGCCAGTTTTGTTGGCCGAAGGCCGTGCCGGGAATGACTGTATGCATGGGCATGATCAGGTTTTGTACCCATGCAAGCAACGAACACTAACTGAAGGGGGATTTTCCTCTCGCTTGCCGGTCAAAACCAATTGGTCAAAACCGGTCGAGTGCAGGGAGAATCGATTGCTTATATGTTTCAGCGGCACACGCAAGCCAGAATTAAACAGAAAGTCCGACGGCAATCGATGAGAGCATATCTGAACGTGCTGGGGCTCCGGGGGAAAGACTGAGTTAGGGCGAGACGTAAGACCCGTAAAACCGGCGGAAGACCAAAGGATCCTCTCTCAGGATCTTCCTCTCTCCAGCAGATCCCGTCCCCCTTCACAATCATGGCATCCCGCACGCTGCTCGTCGTATCTCTCGTTGCGGTCGTCTTTTTGCCCTGGCAGCTCTCGGCACAAGAAGATGCCTCCTCGGAGGTTTTCTCCTTTCCGACAGTGAGTGTCACAGGGGAGGATGACCACAGCGGGCATGATCACGCTGACCACGCTGACCACGATGATCATGATCACGCGGCGCACTCAGAGGCGGGAGGAGGGGCTGGTGTCTCCGATCCGCACGACGACCATGACCACCATGACGACCACCATGACCATGATCACTCGGCAGAGAGCGGAATGGCCGGTGTCTCCCAAGCGGAGGCGGACGCTGAGCTGGCAGCTGAGTGGGAGACTTTCCCTATCGAATATAGATGGCTGGCCGGTATCATCGCAGGTACAGTGGGGCGAGGGAGATCTGTCTCAAGTATCGGGTGTGGGTGGTGATCTCAAGGCACCTGCATGTGTGTTGGTTTGCAGGCATTATCCTGACGGTCAACAGCCTGATAGGCATGTGCCTCCTGCAGTGCCTGGGCAAGGGCGTGGCCGGCAAGATTCTCCAGTACGCCCTTGTTATCCTCTCCATCTCTGTCATGGTGGTCAGTCACCCACACGCACATTACACACACGCAAGAACGCAGCTTTGGTGCAAAGTGCACGTACATGTGTGGTCTCCGTGTGTGCGCTGGGCGTGTCTCCCAGAGCGATTCCATGATGCACATATACCCCCATGCCATCGAGGGCGCCTCGCACGACACCGTCGCCAAGCTGGGCATTACGGCCTTCGCCGGCAGCCTTGCGTGTGTGCTCTTCTCCCAGCTGATGAATAGCCTCCACCGCGGCCACAAGCATACGCATCACCCAGGGATGGCCATCCCTGCAGCGCGCACGTCCGCCACGGTTGCTGACGATGCCGACACCACGCCCTCAAAGGAGGGAAAGATGGAGGAGGGGAAAATAGTAGAGCAAGGTGAGAAGGAGAAGTTTGACTGGCGGTCGGTGGAGTCGTTTGGGTGGGCGGCCTTGGCCGGCGACCTGGTCTGCAATTTTGTCGATGGCCTCTCTATCGGTCAGTCGGGGAGGCTGGGAGGGAGGGAGGGAGGGATGGAGGATGGAGGATGGAGGCACGATGGATCTGTGTGTGTCATTGACTTACATCTTATCTAGGTGTCGCCTGGTACGTGGGCTGGTTTGTCGGCCTGGTGACTTCCATCGCCATTCTGGCTCACGAGATCCCGCAGGTACGTTACGTCCACGCGACACGTCCGTCCATCGCACAGGTGCGGACCAGCTCTACGACTCATGGATGTATGCGAGCGTGCAGGAGCTGAGTGACTACGCCGTGCTGCGTCTGAGCGGCCTCACCAACTGCCTGGTCATCGGCATCAACATCGTTTCCTCCCTCACATCCTTCGTCGGCATCGCAATCGGCCTCGGTATCTCCACCCTGCTTGACGAAGTGGTCGAGGAATTCGCGCGCTACTGCCTGGCGTTCACAACCGGTGCGTGGCTGGCCATCGCACTGCTGCTGCTGACGCCCATCGCACTCAAGCTCTTCGTGGAGATGACCCACAAGGGACCTGACGGGCAGCCGCCGGTGCTGGGGTGGTTCCCGGTGAGCCTGGTCACTGCCTTGATGATGGCCGTCGCACTCGGTCAGTGAGTGAGCCACGCGATCTCAGCAGAGAGAGAGAGAGAGAGAGAGGAGAGGTGCATGCGCGTTCCTTTCTGTCTGTCTGTCTGTCTGCAGGTATCATGGCGGCGATTGGTGTGTTGGAGGGTATGACGCATGCGCATGGGGGTCACGAGGGTCACGGTCACGAAGGCCACGACCACTGATGGATTGGCACATCCAGATCCATCCATCCATGTGTGCATGTTTGTGTGTATGCGTGCACGCGTGTGTGCGCGTGCCTGCCTGAGTCGTGTGAGAGCGTATGCGTGTCTTTCAAGTGGGCCGGGGGCGAGGCCGTTCATGGAGCGCGGGCGAGGCAGGCCCGATTCGTTTATGCAGGTGTTCAGCGTGGGGCGACGCTGTCGATGGACTCTGGCTGGCTGGCTCGCTCGCCAAGGGGCGGTTTTGACGCCTGCACAACACCTGCTGGGTGTGGCGGACGAACTTTATGGGCGGAGCTGATGCATATCCGGCCCACGTAGCTAGCTCTTTTATACACACATCGTCGGTCGGGGCGTGTCTGTCGGTTTATGTATATATATGTATGTCTTCTTGTTCCCGTCGTCTTTTTCCTCTCGTGGTGGTGCACTGCAAATGGGGAGTGACTTACTTACGTGGCGATCGTAGTTGTGGTAGTTGTGGTGGTTGCGGTTGTGGTTGGTGGTTGTGGTTGTGCTGGGGCACGGTGGCGTGAGCGCAGGTTTTGATTCACGCACGGATGAGTCGCTTTTTTCACCTCGTCAGCGCAGACATAGCTATCAATCAGTGGGTGCATACACACGCCGCAATGCGGCCGCAGGCGAGGCCGCAGCAAGGCAAGTGCGGTGAAGGAAGAGGGCGGAGGTTAGCTAGTTAGGAAGAGGGTGGAGTGACGGGCAGAGGGATTTGTATTCGAGTGCACACGCCGGACGCTGCGTACCCAATAAGTTCATCAACGGGTGATGATTCATGCACTGCAGAGGTCCCGGCCAGCTTCTGTCCACACAGCCATCTCAAAAGACATGAGTCAAACAGCAAATAGGCCACCCGCCCTCGCGAAAGCGGTGGGTTGCGTTGCATCCGGTGCTTCCTTCTCCGGACTCGTGATTTTCTATGGACTCACACAGACCCTTTCTTGCGTACCCCTTCGGGGGGCCGGGGGGCAAGGTCCCCGTGAGGTTAACGAACGAACGAACGAACGCCCTCCCTGCGCGCTTAGCTCGCAACCGGATCGCGGGACGAAAAGAAGACGCGTTTTGTGAATCGTGAAGTCCCCTCGAGATGCCCAAGCGAAGCAGATCGCAGCCCACCTCCCCTCACCCCGAAAATCGGACGGCCTGATACCGCTGACTGGCGTGTTTGATTGGCGGGCAGTGCATCGTTGAGTGACCGAGTGTTCAGGCCGTTTCAGCCAGCCATGTGGGACACTGTGAAGGAGCTCTTCAACTGGCGGGAGCGGGTTTTCAGTGAGTTTTCGGTCGGCCGCATGCTCGGCGCCTATGTGCTGGAGCAGCTCGACAAGCGGGGGGTCTCCTACTTCCTCAACTTTGACCGCAACCAATTCGATGTGTCACTCATGGGTATGTGAGAGCAGCAAACACACCAACCAATGCACACAAGCAAAGCACAAGGCAAGCAGGGTCAGACCAGACATGTCAATCACTGGGCTTTCTCTCTCTCTGTGTGTGTGTGTCTGTGTCATGTGTGTCTGTAGAGACTAAGGTAGAGGTCAAGAATCTCTATTTGGATCCCGTGACGTGCACCGACGCCCTCTTCGAGCGGTGCATCCCCATCCGCCTCAAATCGGGGCACATATCCAAAATCACTCTCGAGGTCAGCCAGTCAGTCAGTCAGTCAGTCAGTGTGTGTGTGCGCCATGCCCTATGGCATGCTGCGCTGACACCGCCCGCCCTTGCTGTGTCACCACATCCATCCATCAGGCGAATGTATTTGGGGGGAGCGGCAAAGTGCACATCCAAGGTGGGTGGGCCCAGATCAACACAACGGGACGGCCACTCATCGTCTGTTTGTCTGTCTGTGTGTTGGTTCAGGTTTATATATTGTGGTGGCGCCGAATTTCGAGAGCCAGGAGGGCGACGACACACTTGAGGTGAGAGTGTGTGTTGATCACACTCACTCCACACCCACGCGCATGTCTGTCTGTCTGGTGTGGTGTGGTGTGAGCAGCGCCGTCGCCTCAAGCTGGAGCGGCTCTACTATGACGTCCGGGCCGCATTCCTCAACTTTCACGTACGTCTGTCTGCACAGATAGATGCCGGCACATCCATCATGTGGAGGCATTGCAATGCATTGCCGCGTGTGGCCGACCAATCACTTCAGGCCCAGCCGCAGCCCTTCGAGCCGTCCAAAGATGAACGTACGCACCTATGGGACGAAAGCACACACACACACACGCAGACACACAGACAGACAGACCAGCATCGAGGATCAGCCGACCAGTCCTGGCTTCTTTCTTTCTGTTGTGTGTGTGTGTGTTTGTCAACCAACCGACAGAGGGTCGTTTCCTGGTGCAGCCAGAGAGGGAGGTCGACTGGGAGAGCCACCCTATCGTACGCACCCACACAGATACGCAGAGTCTGTTTCTACCTCCCTCCCTCGATCCATCCCCTCAGAATCACCCGGCGAGCAAGATGAAGGCCATCAGATACCTGCCCGACGTCATCGTACGCACACACACACGCACGCACACACGGAAGAAGGAACGGAACGAACCTGTCATATGGGTGGATTGGATCATCCACCACGCCCCGCCCCACACACAGGTAGAGATGTCTGACTTCAACATTCGGTTCGAGGACGAGGGTTTCCTGCACCCCCGGCCGTGTGCGATCGGCATGCACATGGGCTCCCTCATCATACGAGCCGACAAGGACCTCTGCAAGTTCTCTATACCGCCAAACAAGACTTTCCTCAGGGAACACCTCGGCGGAAAACTGTAAGTGCGTCGGAGGGGATGGGAGGGGAGAGCTGCAGCTGCATGTGTGTGTGCCTACGGCAGGTCGAAATTCCAGCTGCGGAGCTTCAACTTCAAAGACTTGGGGTGAGTAGGGGAGAGAGGAAGGGAGGGAGGCGGGTCCATGGAAGGATGGCATGGCTGGCATTGTGTGTGAGCAGGGTGTACTTGGACATCGACGTGCCGCCGTACATTCCCGAGTCCGTCTACGAGTCCACCAAATACGAAAAGGAAGGTACGCCCGTCCGACCGTCCGTCCGTCCGTCTGTCCGTCCGTCCATCCGGAGGAAAGCAGCAAACGACTGTGTGCTGTCTGTTTGTTATGTGTGTTGTTTGGCTGTCTGGTCTGGCAGGTGTGTATTCGGCGATGCAGCCCGACGACATTGCCCACATCTTCATGAGAAACGTCAAGTCAGCCAGCGAGCCACCCTGCACACCACACCACACCACACCACACCACACACGAACCATCCATGCACACAGTCCATCCATCTGTGTGTGCGTTGGTGTGTGTGACTGCTGAATGAATGCAGGCGTAGCCACACATGGATCTTGAAGCCCTGCGAGTTCTTCATGCAGGTACGACACACACACATGGCAGGAACCAACCACTCCATCGACCTGTGTGTGGCCCCCCACCCGACACAACCCCCAACACACACACAGCTGAGCATCGAGCTGGCCAAGATGGCCGACCACCACATCCCGCTGGAAATCGCCTTCGGCAAGACGTACCCCGAGGTCCACTTCTCAATCGGATGCAAACCCATCGAAATCAACCTCGACGACAAGTCAGTCAAGAGCCAGCCAGACGGACGGACGGACTGACAGACACAGACATGGTTGGTTGCGTGTGTGTGTGTGTGTAGGGTGTTGACGCATCTGCTTTACACTGGGGAGTACTTCAAGCGCTTCAACCTGTGGCACTCACTCAGGCGAAAGCGACCAAGGGTGAGCAAACCCTGCCACACAGACACACACACACACACACACAGTGTTTTCTGTGTGTGTGTGTGTTCAGTTCCGGCCGACCGACTCCGAGTCTGCGCGTCTGTGGTGGCGGTATGTGCACTCGATCGTCAAGGACATGCAGCACATCCAGGGGCTCGGACTCGCAAGTAACCAACCGCACTGACCGACAGACGCTCCACACACACACACACACACACGTGCCTGTGTGCTGTGTGGCTGTCTGTGCAGGGAAGCTGATGGCCGACAGGCTCGATCGCAAAAGATACATCAGGGTGGGTGGGTGCGGCGCACATCACATCCATTCACACCACACACACTACACATGAGTGACAGGACATAGCTTTCTTTGCCCACACACATGCACACGCCTGTCTGCCTGCCTGTGTGTCATTCTGTCTGCCGCCCATTCATGCATTGCTTCGTCGGCCAGATCTGGAAGAAGAAGCTGCTGCTGCCCGTGACGCCCGACGAAGAGGACCAGAGCAGACTATACACACAAGGCACGAATGCACACATGCCATCCTACACCACCATCCATGGATGGATGCGTCACCCCTCCATCTCTCTCTCTGTGTGTGTGTGTGTGTGTGTGTGTGATATGTGCAGCGTACGACAAGTACCGGGCGCGTCAGTTCATCCAGATCGGGCCAGAGGAGGCAAACTTCATGCGGGAGCAGGACGTATGTGACGTGTTGCAGACACACCACACTTCGCCGTGTCTGCGTGTGCCATGGGGCGTGTGATGTGGTGTGATGTGTTGTGCTTCACTGTTTCAGATGTCCAAGCCGCCTCCCATGATCGCAGCCTGGCGAATGCTGGCCGAGGAAGTCCTCAGACACGAATGCCTCAACGAACGCGTAACTCACCGACCCATCGTCACCGTCACCCCTGCGCATCAGTGAATCTATCTGTCCACCCCTGTGTGTGTGGATGTGCTGTGATGTAGCTGACGTTGGTGGGCTCGCTCGACGCCTACTACGACCCCAACCGCATATCCTTCGCGCCAGAGGACGACCAAGCCTGGCTGCAGTCGCTCCGGGGCGCCATGGAGCCGCTCGATGGCGAGGAGATGAACAAAGTCACTTGTGGCTTCTACAGAAACCTGGTACTCACAAACACTGTCACACAGACAGTATATATAAATCGGTGGCAGGGAAAGCATCCGCCTGTGCGTGCGTGTGTGTGTGTGCAGATGGCACTGCGCCCATTCGAGTACGCCGTGCTGCTGCAGACGCCCGAGCGGATCTTCATCGAGAACCACTTCATGATCGAAAGCACCTACATGATGCCGCCGTAGGAAAAAACCTGCCTCTTCCCC